AGGATTTGTGCTTGATTCTCAAGTGAAGGTATTGGGACAATGATGTTGCTCCAGACGCAAACAAGTACTCGAATTTGGGTTCCAGGTTGTGTTGGGAGATTTAGCACTGGTCTGAGACCATCAAAAGCACTTTTTTAGAACAATAAAAGATAAAAGTGGGAAATTCCATGTATAGAGAGAAAAAAAAGGTTAAATACAATATACTAGGCAGTCAAAGAAAGAATGAAAAATAAATAAAAATAGCTGGAAACACGTGCAATGAAGGAAAACAGTGTGTTTTTGAAGGCTGTAGCGGCAAAACATTGCCGGGTTGACCGGAGACAATAGGGTCACACTATGGCATCCCTCCTGCTCGTGCTTCTGGGCCGCATTTGTCTCTCCCCCACGCGTGCGTCCAAATCCTCACCACCTTCTTCCACAAATATTCATTGTACTTACCTTCAACCTAACTCTATACACAGTTGTATATTTATATTTAATGATTTTCTTTTTTTATATATCCATATCCTTTTACTGTATTCTAAATTATATTATATAGTCAAGGTAAGAAATCTTCCTTTATACTACTTCTAAAAATATATACATTTTAATGTCGGTTTAAAAATAGTATAAAGTAATATTAAATCATTATTATTATTTTTTATCAATATCCTTTGCTCACTGAAAAAATAAAATGAGTTTGTTAAATAATTTTTTAAAAATATTAATGAATTGATTCTGTATTTTTCTTCTCTTTGAGCAGGTAAACAAAGATAAAGTAATATTATATTAAATAATGAAATTTTATTCTAAAATTAATTTGTGTAAATTTAAAATAGAGTTATATGGAAGAACCTTGTTTCTCATAATGTCACTAATACTGCCTTAATTAATATCAGACGCATTGTTCACCCAACAACGCCACAGAGGACCCTTTGGTTCTATTTTCAATAAGTTGAAGGGGACATTAACGAGTCCAGAAGGAGACATATTTACAGCTTGTATTAAATTTTTTTTAATATATATATATATATCTGAACAATATTGTACAGACTAAAAAGTTACATAAGTTTTATACACTCTTAAAAGATAATACTAAAATTTATGATAATTTTTTTAATTTATACAAATGAGCATTTAATCAAAGTTTATATATAACATATTTTTATTACAAATTATAAATTTTCATGCAAATTATTGTATTGATAATTTTAATAAAAGTTAATTATTTATTAATAATTTATTATATATTGTACATGTTAAAAAATGGACTTTTTACAAAAATAAATATATTAATAATGTTTAATATTATTTTTAATAAAAATTTACTATTTATTAATTTTTTACTGTATATTCAAATTCACATCTTAAAAAAAATTCAAAATCTATTACTTTTGTTTCAAACTATTACAAGGATTGGAAATAGCTCTCTTTACAACGTGAGTAAACAAATATGCTAATCCTGTATTCCTGTTAGCCCCCTTTTCAAGCAAGTTTATTTTAGCTAGAAGTAAACTCATGTACAATAATTAAAAAAGTCCTGTGATTCACAATGCTAATGTAATATCTAAATTGAAAAATATTAAAAAAAAAAAATACTCCAAAGTCCAATTACTAATTTTGATTGTTGACACTTCATATCAAATGATTATTTAGTATTTTGAATAATGTGCACCCGTTTCCTGTGATTGACCTAATTATGAGAATAACTTAGAAGTAAATCTAAATGTTAAGTAATTAGAATCATAACTTCTAAATAAATTTATTAACATCATGTTTTTGAATAAGTTTAAATATTTAAATAATATAAATTTATTGAAAATAAAATAGTGATTACATTAAACATATAAAAATATAATAAATAAAAATTTAACATTATTAATTATTTAAATTTAATATATTTTTTTTTAAATTTTAATGATGGAACCTAGTTCAACAGTTTCATTTGAAATTTCAGTGGGTGAGTATCAAATTTAATTTTTACATTTGATTTGTTTGCTGACGTTAGGCACTTTTTCTTCATTAATTTGTTGAGATGTCCAAAGACCATCAACATAAATTTCAATGGAAACACAGTATCATTCAGACCAAATTGAAAGTTTAGAAAGAAAAGACAAGTATTAAACTGTTTAAGATGTGATCCATCCATAATAGACATTAATTTCTGAGATCAATTTTGAAATATCAAAAAGTAATAAAATCAAAGCAACAATAGTATTTGTCAATCCAGTCGTAAAGGTAGTATGAAAATTTTGTACTATTTAAAAATATAATTAAATAACAATGAAGTTATTATTTGAAGCACGTAAAAGTTGAGGTAATTATATGAATATTATCAATTATGCATAACAATTGAGAAATGTTATAATTTATCGTGTAAATCTAAATTTTAATTAGCTTTGATAAGTATTCAAGAAAAAAAGTTTTTATAATAATTTTATTTGAGTTCATTAAAATTGACTTTAATAAAAAATAACTTTTATTAAAAAAGTAACTATATATTATAAAAAATAATACTTTGTAATTAAAGTCATATTTAACAAATCATAACTATATCTCTAACATTCTAAAACTAATTACACATTTCAATGTTTTATATATAATCAAGGAGACAAATTAATTATTAAAAATACTAGTCTTGACAATATGTGTTTTGAGTGAATTAATCATAATTTTTATTAAAATTATATACAAAAACACTTTGAAATATAAAAATAAATACATTGTTATTATTTTAATATAATCATAAGGTCATAAGACTACAGAGATCATATATTATGTTTCAAACTGTTTCTTTAATATAAATTTTAAATTTGAAATAAAATAATTTGTTTAATGATCTATTAATTAAGAGAAAATAGAAATCTAATTATAAAAGTGTATTATTTAAATAAGTAAAAAATCATCAGTTTTATTCAAATACACCGAAATTGTTAATAAAATAAAATGGAATATCATATATTTTTTCAACACTAGATTTTGATTGGTTACCAAAATTAAGAATACTTTGTTTTTATTTTTGGCAAAAACTTTATTGAATTGGAGATCCTTGTCGAAAATGGAACAAAATTGTTCAAAAATTGGGCACTATTTATTTATATGTATATTTCTTTATCTCTTATGGTTGAAGGAAGCTGGTAAATCAAAGATGAAGGAATATCTGATGCAGGTGTCACTTATCGAAACACGTCAATTCAGTAGGGACCACTGGTTAAGGATGGGAAGCACCGGTTATTGTTATCCACATGAAAGTTGTTTTAGCCACAATAAAGAGGTGGATAGACAACCTGGACCCCCCCACTTTCCTTCCTAATCCCTTCTTCTTTGACCTTTGACTACCCACTATTACCCAACCATTCAAACCTAATCATATTCTCTAATTATTTCCACCCTGCCCCTTTCATTTTATCTATTATCCAACCCCCCCCCCCCCCAATTTTTTTAAGTCTCAAGTTAGTGCTCAAAATTACATCAGTAAGATATTTTATCTATATAATTTTCAAAATCCTCCGTTAATCTTAATAATTTTATAAAATTTACAATGCATGTATTTTTTAAATCAATAATTTATAAACAATTAAATTTCAAAAATAAAAATGTCCAATATATATCATATTAAATATCATATTGTAAAGGTTTGTTGAATATACTTTGTGATGACAATTTTTTAATATTTGATTGTCTAAAATGCTTATATACTTTGAGAGATCTAATTAATGTATGACTCCATTCATCTGTTTTAACCATATGTATGATTTAAATTCTTCGTAAAATATGTCTCACTTTTAAGCATTTATTTTTACATATATTTTTTTTTCACGATTGCTTTATTTTAATTCTTAACTCTATACGATAAAGAATCAAAATATTATTATGTTGTGATATATGTTAGTGAATCCTTTAATATGTTTCGATTTCATTTTAAATCTAAAAATTGCATTATATATATATATATATATATTTTTCTTACACTTTTAAAAATAATTTTCAATATAAAAAATACCAAAAATAATTCTTACCCTACCTAGTACTATCTTTCAAAATTTAGGGGTTGCTTTAGTTTCTTCATTTTATAATCTGAAGCATTTCCACTTCTTAAATTGACATTAAAATTGTAATCGAATTAGATGGGATCTTGAAGTAAAATTTCAATTTGTTTCACAGTTGATTTCTAAAGAAAAGTAAAATATACTTATTTTATAATTTTTATTCGTGAAATATGGTTTAAATTGATTTTTTTAAAAATAAAACTCTCTAAATATAAATGGTTATGTGCATAGGCTGTCCACTTCACACTGTTACTATTTGTATCATTATTTCACGAAAGGGTGGCTTCCATATCCTTCCAACTTGATTGTAAATTTTAGAAAAGGCTTTGCTACTTTTTCTTTATTCATTTGAAAAGCTTTGACATGATGATTAATTTGGCAATGAAAATAAGTGATGCTTTAGTGAAATCGGTTTGCATTGAAAGATCTAACGAGGCATCAAGTAATGATATTGATACATAGATGACAGAGAAGATACAATAGAACAGTGTAAAGGTTTCTCCTCAATAGCTAAAACAAGGGGGCTAGGGTCAAGGGCAGTAGGCTAGGAAAAGGAAGAAAAGAAGAGGGAACAAAAAGAGAGGGAGGGAAAGGGCATAAAGAAAAAGAAGAAAAAGACAGAGGGAATGAAAAGAAAGGAAAGAAGAGGGGGCGAAGTGCAAAGTGACAGGCAAAGAAATTAAAAAAGAAGGAAAAATAAAAGAGTTGATGTACACAGGAGTAAGATTTTAGGCAGGAAATGTGGGACCCAAGTGTGGCATATTTCCTTTGACCAAACCTTCCTATTGCTCAACCAGGGTTAGATTCCAAGTTAGATGGCACCACACGTGTGGGAAAGGTGGGGCAATAGACGAGTCAGATAAGGAGCAGCGGGTGGCAGGGAGTGAGGGTCAGTCCCTCTCTGTGCCTGTTGGGTATGTTCCTCTGTTTCATCTCATATAAGAGAAAGCAAAGTGTAACATAGCTAAAGAGAATTTGCAGAGCCTTCAGAATTAGCATTATTTATTTTCCTCATTAATATTAAAATTCATTACCTCATTTCTCGTACTCTTCTACTCTATCCCAAATTCCCAATCCTATCACACCATTCCCTCAACAATGCCTGGCAGTTTAGAACCGTTGGATTTGGGGGTTCAGATACCCTACCACTTCAGGTGCCCAATCTCGCTTGAGCTCATGAGAGATCCTGTGACGGTGTGCACCGGTCAAACATACGACCGAGGGAGCATCGAGTCATGGGTGAGCATAGGCAACACCACATGCCCAGTCACACGTGCCCCTCTCACCGACTTCACCCTAATCCCCAACCACACCTTACGCCGCCTCATCCAAGAGTGGTGCGTCGCCAACCGCGCTTTTGGCGTTGAGCGAATCCCCACTCCCAAACAGCCCGCAGACCCTGCCTTAGTTCGTTCTCTTCTCAACCAATCCTCTTCTGATTCTGCCCCCACTCACCTTCGCCTCTCCTCTCTCCGTCGACTCAGACAACTCGCTCGCGACTCCGATAAAAATCGCTCTCTCATTGCCTCTCACAACGTTCCTCAAATCCTCCTCCCAATCCTTTTTCGCAGCCACGCTTCCGACGAGTTGAACCACGAGTCACTCGCTTTACTCGTTCTCTTCCCACTCTCCGAGTCTGAGTGCGCCTCGCTCGCCTCCGACTCGGATAAGATTAACTACCTCTCCAGCTTGTTGTCTCATCCTTCACTTGACGTCCGAGTCAACTCGGCCGCTCTAATCGAGATCGTCGTCGCCGGGACTCACTCGCCGGATCTCCGAGCTCAGGTCAGCAATGTCGACGAAATTTACGAAGGCGTCGTCGACCTTCTCCGGAACCCGATCTCGATCCCTCGTGCGCTCAAGATCGGGATCAAGGCCTTGTTCGCGCTGTGTCTGGTGAAGCAGACGCGGCACAAGGCGGTGGAGGCCGGAGCGCCGGCGGTGCTTGTGGACCGGCTCGCGGATTTCGAGAAATGCGACGCGGAGAGAGCGCTGGCGACGGTGGAGCTTCTTTGTCGGATTCCCATGGGGTGCGCGACGTTCGCCGGCCACGCGCTGACGGTGCCAATGCTGGTGAAGATAATTCTGAAGATATCGGATCGCGCGACTGAGTACGCGGCCGGAGCGCTGCTGTCGCTGTGTTCGGAGTCGGAGCGGTGCCAGAGGGAGGCGGTGGCGGCGGGAGTGCTGACTCAGCTTCTGCTTCTGGTGCAGAGTGATTGCACGGAGAGAGCGAAGAGGAAGGCGCAGCTGTTGCTGAAGCTTCTTCGGGATTCGTGGCCGCAAGATTCCATCGGAAATTCTGACGATTTTGCATGCAGCCAGGTCGTTGTGGTGCCATTTTGACCATTTTGTTCTTTCTTTGTAATAATCTCCATAATTTGTAATTTTTGTTAGTGAAAAAAATTTGTTTAGATTTGAAGGAAACAAAACTGAACATAGATTTGTTAAGTTCGAGCTTAATTAGAATCTTTTGTTTAGATTGGTAAATACAACTGTAATTCTGTATTTAATTATTTTTGTTCTCTTTGCTTTGTATGTAAGAGTTATTGTTAAGAAGGAAAACAAAATGTTTCATCAGAAGTTGTAATTTTGTAAGATGGAAAATAGAGCTAACTTTTTCGTTTTCTATTTCCTTTTTCTCTCTTCTCTGGCCTTGTTCAAAGTGATATATATTGCGTTTATGAATCTAATTATGATAGAATTGGTTGGTGCTCGGGATTATCTGGGACTTTGCTCGCATGTGTGGGAACCCTGTGCTTATTGGGTAGAAAGAAAACATTCACTGCCAGTCGGTGTAGGACACGTTTCTGATTGCTCCATAGACGGAAGTGTTTTTGACCTCCGAGGAACATCATTTTTAATAATCATTATGTTGGGGACTCGTATCCATGGCTGCTACTGCTCACAAAAGTAGAATGATGTACCCTTTTTTAATCCTTTTCTGTACAACAATCCGAACGTTGTCCTGGACCATACTGATCACACAGCGACCCAAAATCAATTCTTTTTTTCTCATCTTAATCCAATGTACTAATGAAAAATGATTCACATGGGTTGAATTCGAATCTTTGAAAGTTAACGTCAAACTTACATGATATTTAATAATTGACAGAGTAAATGTACCATAAAATAATTGGCAGAACACGTGTTAAAAATATATGAAACCAGAGTTACTGTATTCCAATGAAAGGCTATGAGTATGGGCCATTACTAGTAGCTTGTAGCTGAATAGCGGTGCTAGTGTATATCTATGACTATGAAGTTTGAGCAAGAACAAAACAGAGAGAACAGGAGGGTTGCACGGGTTTGAAACGTCTTTGAATAAAAAGGAAAGAGAGGGCACATGTGAGGGAACATGGTGGGGTCCAGAGGGTCCTACAACAAGGACTGGGAAAATGGTTTATGTGGCTTACAAATTGAGGGGATGATGGTCACATGTTGGTGGGAATAAAACCATGGAATCACATGGGTCATGGGTGCATGGGTGCTTGCTTATTTGTTATTCTCTGCACCCCCTTTTCAATTTTTGTGATGGCTACCATTGCTACAACTGGTGCTCACACATCACATGCTCAAACCAACTTTGTTTCTGCTCCACAGTCGCTCACAGATGGGAATTTAATTTGTCTTCCAACCTCAGGATATGTAGCACTCGGGACCCATCATCTACTGTCACCCATTTTAGCTTTTTCTAATTATCTTTTATCCCCCCCTTTTGGGACACCAATCACTCAACTCTTCTCTACAAGGTGAAACACGTCACCTAAGGAATGAGGTGATGGGGAACCTTTCCAGCGAGTTTTTAACAACAAAAAGCATTCATTCCAAGTCAGAGATTGTATATTGTATGTAAAGATAGAAGGGTGAGATTTCATTCATGATTCATCTGTGCATTGCTGCTTTTGGTCTATCTCCAAGAAAAGAAGTCAAATTAATTATCACATTGTTCCTCCTCTTGATTGGAGGATGATATCATTGATGCTTGACAATGAGGCTGTTCTGTTCATTCGCGTGCACGATATGTTGTTTTCACTACCCCTATAGTACAGTTTAATGCTTTCTGCTGAGACCATATTCAAACACTACCGTAAAAGGGTCTTCGTCTTATAGTAAATAATGACGACTACCACCCCAGTACAGGTGTATGTGTATGTGCATGCCATGCATATTGGCTTCTTTTGCATTCAACTATCACATTCACACACTGTTTAAATAAATAAAGTGAATAAACAACCACACGTGCTCTTCTTCACTGCCTTTGTTCTCAAGTTCACATTGACAACAATTCGGTGATTCCAGAATAGTCCATATTCGGTGACTGTTGTTGTCAAGGACTAATGGGAAGGTCCCATTATCCATGATGGTGACTATAGTTCTGGATACTATTCTTCTATTTTCATCAAAATTACACTGATCTATGTTTGGTTTCATCCGTGATTATATGTCATAGAGTGAGTTTGCATCAAGTATGCAAAAGTTTATTTGTGAAATGAACTATTTGCATTCAAGTTACAAAGAAAGTATTATCTCTTCTTATGGTAATTAACTAAATGATTTAGTTGGTGAGGAAATTGTTCCACTGCTAAGCCTAAAATCCTTCCATCAATACAATTGGATGTTACTTAGTCAGGCAATGAGGAATCTATGTTTATCATTTATAGTCTTGATAGAGAAGGCCAATTTTAATTGGGTTGTATCCTTCGCTATAGGCCCATTTAAATCCTAATTGGGCTAAACATTTTAATAGAATCCAATGTTCAGCCATAGGAAACCGTTCACAAAAACACGTTAGGAAACCCAAATTAGTAATAATTTTCTTCATTTTTGGCAATTTCTTCATTATCCTCTCTTGTTCTTGCCTATAAGGTGCTTTTGCAGTTTGCAACAACAAGTATTAAATTTTCAACATTGGGATTTCCACATTTTTTAGAGAGTTGACACATAAATGCTGTTTGTTGGTAGGTATTAAAAAAAGTTATAAAAGAGTTTTAAAATAAGTTACTGAAATATTATTTGACATAGATTATTTTCAATTATTAAGAATATCTTAAATTAATTGTTTAAATTTATAAGATACATAATTAATTAAAATAAAAATTTAAATATAAAAAAAATTAAAGACTTAAAATAGGATAACCTTTGATAATAAATTGTTTGAGAAGAAACTAAGAAGTATGATTTTATCTTTTCACTTCTATATATTTATTTTTAGATTAATTTTATTTTTTTATAATTACTAATCACTTATACTAAATCTATTAACACCCAATGGTTATATAATATTAACAATCTTTTCTTTTAAATTATTATTCTCGATGTTCATGCAAGGTAAAAGGAAGAGAAAATATAAATAGTTTATAAGCTGTTAATTTAATAACGATTGAAAGAAAAGAACTAAATTTAGTCTATCTAATTCTTTGTTTCATTTTATCCTGCAAATCCATTAACTATATGTGGTACTATCACTTATAATATAATTAATTATGTTATATTTAAGAGTTATCAAATCCAAACATACAAATATAGTATAATAAGATAAACACATAATAATAAAAAAATGTGAAATTTTCATTAATTACAAAGATCTCATAAAGTCATGCAAATGATTAATCATAACCCTACTTAGTTAGATATAATATAATAGAAGACTAAAACAATAATAAACTCATCCATAATTATTCAAAAAGTAAATGCAAACTAGAATATTCTATAATGGAGAAAAAATGAATAAAACTTTTGATTCAAAGATGCGATCCCAAAGCTTTGGTAGTCATTAGCGACCGACCAAAATTAAGTTTAAAAGTGTCAAAAAGATGCTAAAGTCATTACTCTTGAAGTTCCTTAAATAGGGTTTGGAGTCTACAAGAGATTATGGTTGTTACTTCCAAAAGATATGCTTTATTTCTAATAAGGATATGACGTATCAAGAAAGATATGATTTGTCAATTTAAAATTCAAATTCTCTTTGCGTAAGTCTTTTAATGTCTCCAAGTTAGAAGCACTAGAAGAGGAGCACAATCATACACACCAATATGCACGACCGTGCATATGCTGAAAGCATGGCTGCGCTGACTACTGATGCATATTCGTGCTTGTTGCAGTGACATCCTATTTTCTCTCTAATTTGGACAAAAAATGCACCAAAAACTCAATTGTGACATTTTCATGTCAAATTACACAATAAATAAAGAAATCAATGTAAAATTCTAATAAAATAATGGTCACGCATGTAGATATAGATTTTAAAAAGATGCTAAAATATAGACTTGTCAAATGTCTATATGTACAATTTGGTTTTCATGCTTGGTAACATATTCTTAAACAAATTTGGATCTTCTCTCATTATAGTGAAAATTGGATTATCCAATCGAGATTCGCTTAAGCAAATTTTCAAGTATACAAGGTTCGAAAAAGGAAACAAGTAAGCATAAGTTGGTAATGCTAGAGAGAATGATGAAGGAAAAAGTAAGGAGAATGAAGAAGACTTTTCTTGATTGGTTGAAGGGGCTTAGGAGGAATAATGAAAACAATAAAAATAAACCTTCACATTATGCATATGAATATTAAATAAGTAAGAACCTTAAATTGGATAGATCTGAACTTAGAATGAGAGGTCCCATTTAGTTGGGAGCTGCCAAAACTAAAAAGGTTGGTCTTTTGCTATTGGTGCAAGGCAAAGGCAGCATGAGACCTAAAACTAAAACGATTTGAATTTTGCTACTGGTAAGAACTTCTGTGTCCCTCAATTCCATGAACATTGGATTTTCACTGGTGTTGAAGTACATGCAAATATCTACACATCTTTGTACTTGCAGTTGAAATACAAACATAATAATTAAAATCACAATTTTAAAATCATTTGATTGGATATTGCAAACAAAGAACAATTTGGGTAAAGCAGTCATAGATCCCTCTTTGTATGCTGGCAAATTCGCTTAAGCAAATTTTATTGACTTAAATAAATTTTACAAATTATTTTTTTGTTATTTGGTAATATTCACTTAAGTGAATTAATCTCGATTGAATGATCCAATTTTTACCATAATGAAAGAGGATCAAGATCCTCCTTAAACACTTGAACCAACCCCTACAATTAATAAAAGAAGAATTAGGCAATTTGATGCTTAAAAAGATAGAAAAAAAACATAATTATATATAATGTAGATACATAAAATATTTACCTTTTGTAGATAAATATAAACACGTCTTTTCTCACTCCTTACTCTACTATTTTTATAGAGTAGTTTTACGATTAACTTTTAGATTTAATTAGATGAGTAATATATATATATATATATATATATATATATATATATTTAGATGTAGAAAAACAAAAGATAAAGAATTAATTTTTTTATTTTTGAATAAATAAAATTATTATTAAAAGAAATAAGTAGATTATATAAAATATTTTTATAATGATAAAATTTATTTTAAAATTTTAATTTTTTTTGTTATACCTTTTTTCTTAATATTATTATTTTTAGATATTTTTATATTATTTTAAAATTTATTTAATACTCAAATAAACTAAAGAAAGGGACACTAGTGCACTCAGTTAGGGATAGAAAAGAAATCATGGTCTAAATAAATATGTAAAAATTGAATATAATTTTT